GGCCAACAGGGGGCTTGGGATAGGGTGAGTAACCGTTTGTTACTCACCCGTCAGTAACCACCTAGGAACCGTTGATCTGGGGCGGACGGATCGTGTGGCTGTCATTGAAGCGGGATTGTCAGGGGCATTTTTGTCCGTTATTTGAATTAATGAGTTTCCCTTTTATCCGTTGCGAGCTGGGATTTGGAGAGAGAAAGTGCGAGCAGCAAAACAGGGGACCGAGCTATGGAGAATTTTTCTCTCCATAATTGATCTTTTTTTTTTTTTTGAGGAATCTCCATAATTGATCGACGGCGAGAACTTAGGTGGATTACCTAAATCGACGGCGAGTTTATCTCTGGTTAGATATTAGTTTTTCTGATTCTTCCTGTTCCGTCGTTAACTTTTTAACCTGACGTGATTCGTTGAGCTTTCTGTCGATCTTTGGTTTCGTTGAGCGTTCTGTCGATCTTTGGTTTCGTTGTATGTTATTCGTTGCGATAATTGCTAGTGAATATGGCTTTGACCTCGACTGAGTGAGTTTCTTTGTGTTTCTGTTTAGCTAATCGAGCTTGTTCATGTTTATGTTGTTTGTGTTTTTGCAGTACTCTGGTGAAATGAGTTACGTTAATTGTGGCGATGTTGTTCGATTCGATAGATCTGTTTCTTCATCTAGCAGTGAAGGATCTGGTTCTTCAACTAGCGTTGTTGGAAATAGTTCTTCATCTAGCGTTGTTGGATTTGGTGATTCAGCTAACTTTGATGAATCAGGAGGTAAGATATACAAATTTGTTTGTTAAATTGAAGTTTTAATGTGTTAGATACCATATTTTACTATGGTGGTAATTACTGGTATACGCTGAGAGGTGATACCATAATGTTGTGCTATTATATTATTGTGCTCTGTATTTAACTTTTATCTTATCATACCATAGTGGTAATCATTGGTATATTGTGAGATGTGATTCTGTTGTGGTGTGGAATTCATTTTACCATATCATACCATGGTGGTAATTCTTGTATCATATCATACCATAGTGGTAATCATTGGTATATTGTGAGATGTGATTCCGTTGTGGCGTGGAATTCATTTTACCATATCATACCATAGTGGTAATCATTGGTATATGCTGATATGTGATTCTGTTGTGGCGTGGAATTCATTTTACCATATCATACCATAGTGGTAATCATTGGTATATGTTGATATGCGATTTTGTTGTTGTGGAATCATTTTACCATATTATACCATGGTGGTAATTGCTGGTATTTAGTCATAAAATACACTTTACCTAGTGGTAAAACAGTATACCATGGTTGTTTTTGTGAATTGAATACACTTTACCTTATTATACCATGGTGGTATTATATTTTTACATATTTAATATGTTGCTTCATAATGTTTATAGGTTTCAATGGTATATATCCTACTATTCGTGATTCTTGGAAGGACTTACAGTTTAATACACCAGAAGATGCATATAATTTCTATGTGGATTATGGGAATCATGAAGGTTTTGGTGTGAGGATTTATAACCAATCAGCGTGTCCGAAGCTCAATGGTGGTTCTTCAGCTGTATATTATATTAAGTATTGTTGCAATAAGGAAGGTTGGAGAAGAGGTAGCGAGAATAACCCTGATAATGCAGGTGTTGTTGATACGAATGTTCGTGTTCGTAATGTTCCAGAACTCAGGGGTGGATGTAATGGTGCTTATATACGACTGAGGTGGTTTAAAGAGTTTAAATGCTACAAGATCTATCGTTGGTATAATGTGCACAACCATGACATGATTCCTGAGTCTCTGCGTCACTATGTGAGATCCAGCAGACAAATGGCTCCTGTGTATAAGATGTTGGCAGAGGTGAATGATGTTGCTGGTATTGGTGTGACTTCTTCGTATAATGCAATTAGTAGGGCTGGTGGTGGTCGGAAGTTTGTTGGGTTCACAAAGAATGATTTGAAGAACCATCTGCGAACGGTGAGGACGTTATCAATGGAGTATGGTGATGCGACTGCATTGCTTGAATACTTTAGACGTCAAGCACAGCTGGATCCTGGGTTCTTTCATGAGGTGGAGGTTGATGTTGAAGAGAACATTGCTAGTATTTTTTGGGCAGATGGGAAGATGAGGATGGATTATCATTATTTTGGTGATTCAATTAGTTTTGATACTACTTACCGGACTAACAAAGAGTATCGGCCACTAGGTATGTTTTCTAGTTTGTTGTTTATTATTGTCTTTGTGAGTTTGTATGATTATTATTATTATCATTCTGTATCATGGTTATTTTGTTCTTAAAAGTCTGTACCATATGGTATGGGTTGGTATGGATTGCTTTTTTGTTCTTAAAAGTATTTTACCATATGGTATGTGTTGGTAACAAGGTTATTTGAGGTGGTTTTTGCGTTGTTAGAAGTCTGTACTATATGGTATGGGCTGGTATGGATTGTGTTTTTGTTCTTAAAAGTCTTTTACCATATAGTATGGGTTGGTAACAAGGTTATTGAGGTGGTTTTTGCGTTGTTAGAAGTCTGTACTATATGGTATGGTCTAGTATGGATTGTTTTTTTTTTTTTGTTCTTAGAAGTCTTTACCATATGGTACGGGTTGGTATTATTGTTATTCGTACCTTTTACCACATGGTATGTGTTGGTAGAATTGTTTTTACTCACATTTTCTTATGTTTTTGTAGCTTTGTTTGTTGGTTTCAACAATCATCACCAACTGACTGTCTTTGCGGCTGCTCTTCTATATGATGAAACAACGGCAACATTTGAATGGCTTTTCAATTAGTTTTTGAAATGCATGGGAGGTGTGAGACCGTTATCAATGTTTACTGACCAGGCTGCTGCAATTGCTGCTGGGATAAGGTCTGTTTTCCCAGATTGTTTTCATGGGTTGTGTACATGGCATATTGCTCAGAATGCAGTTGTTAATCTGGGAAGTTTGTGTGACTCTGACCCTTCGTGAGCTTAGTTATTTGATGTATAATGCTGATGATGAGTATGATTTTGAGTATAATTGGAAGAAGATGATTGAGAAGTGTTTTCCTGGGAAGGGACCTTTGGGACACAGTTGGTTACATGGCATTTACAAAGTCAGGAAGAAGTGGTCTTCAGCCTAGGTGAATTGTTATTTTGGTGCAGGAATGAAGAGTACCCAGCTAAGTGAGTGCTGCAATAGTAATATTCAACATTACTTGCAGGCAGAGTTTAGCGTTAGTAGATTCTTTGTGCACTTTGAGAGGATGCTTGATAATAAGAGGGATGCTGAAGAACAAGAAGAGTACTATGCCTTATCTAGGTTGGCTGATTCTCGGTTTTCTACTAGCCCTATTGTGAAGTAAGTTGCTAATGTGTATACGCCGAAGATATTCAAGTTTTTCCTGGATCAGTACAAGGAATCTCTTGCGTATAATATTTTTTCAAATACGGAGATAGAACCAGAAGGACATGTAGGAATGTTTGATGTCTTCATATTGGAGGATGACATTACAAGGTTGGATAGTAGGGTGTTGAATGTTGATTTTGATAACGGTGAAATCAAGTGTTCCTGCCGTAAGTGGGAGTCAAGTGGTTTGATCTGTAAGCATCAAATTAAGGGATATGATATGTTGTGGTCTACAACATGCAATCTGAAGTTCCAGCACATTCCTAGCAGTTTGATTTTGAAGCGGTGGACAAGAGCAGCAAAAACTGGAGGGAACTTTTCTTTTGAAGTTCCGTCTACTGATAGTCCATCGAAATACCGTTCTCGTCTTTTCAATCTGTCAGCTGTTTCTGCATCAATGATCAGCAGGGTTTCACTGGATGATGATTTGTATAAATCAGCCATGGCTTTCATGACTAATTTGATCAAAAAGTGTGAAGCCCTATCGATTACTGAACCTGCTGGCACAAGCACGTCTTCTAACGGTGACAGTAAGTTTTTAATTGTTTAGAGTTTTGTGTTTTGATATATGCAATTTTTTTGAGGAGAATGATTTTATATATATATATATATATATATATATATATATATATATATATATATGTCATTGATTGTAGTTTGTTTTTGTTATCTTGGTATAGATGATGTACCGGTCCAAAAAGTGAAGGGGTTTAAGCCTAAAAAAGATTCATTCAAGCCTTCGAAACGACCAATTCCAGTTGCGGAGGCTGCAAGGGCTGTAAGTAAGAAGAAGAGAAAAACTAGCAGGCTTGAGGAGGAGAATTTGAAGGCTGTTGAAGAAAGTTTAAGGCTGAAGCTGTAACAGTTTTCTTAGAGGATTATTTGAATGAATGGTTGAAGTTGGTTGAGTTGTTGAAGCTATTTTGTTCTTTTGGATTGGTTTTGGTTTTGTTGGATATTTTTCTTGTCTTATTGAATTAATTTTACCATGTCATACCATGTGGTATAATGTGGTAATTTGATTTATCATGTCAAACCAGGTGGTAAAATGTGCTATTTTGGAAGTTAAATGTGAAGGTTCTGTTTTATAATTGATTTTACCATGCCATACCATGTGGTATAGTGTGGTAGTTTGGGTGTTCTGTGTGATAATTGATTTTACATTTGCCATACCATATGGTATAGTGTTGTAATTTATTTGTACCATGCCATACCATGTGGTAAAATATGTTATTTTGGAAGTGACATGTGTTGTCCTGTGTGGTAATTGATTTTATAGTGCATTACCATGTGGTAAAATGTGGTAATTTGAATGTTAAATGTGAGGGTTCTGTGTGATAATTGATTTTACCATGCCATACCATATGGTATAGTGTGGTAATTTGATTTTACCATGCCATACCATGTGATATAGTGTGGTAGTTTGATTTTACCATGCCATACCATGTGGTATAGTGTGGTAGTTTGGAAGTTCTGTGTGATAATTGATTTTACATTGCCATACCATGTGCTACTGTGTGGTAACTTATTTTACATTGTCATACCATGTGGTAAAATGTGGTAATTTGGGAATTAAGAACACATGTTAAGTATTTGCTAACATAATAAAAAATAGAACATTTCACTTAGTAATAACACACACCATAATAAGTTGTTTCATACCATCCTACTAACTAGAATGAAGTGGCTACTGAACATTGTGAGTTTGTTCTCAAAAGCTTACTTATACCCTCCTACTACTTAACACAAACCATAATAGAATTTTCATCTCCTTTCTTTCAAATCTTCCTCTTGTTCTTCATGTTGCAGTACTTTGTTGATTTCTTTCATGATCCTATCCCGTTCAAGATTGTCTTCATTAAGAATGATGTCCAACATCAGGCACTCCCTTTCTTCATTTATGAGATCAATCATCTTCCAGTCTTTGGTCAGGGCACTGTTGTACTTACCTTCCCAGTGTCTCATCCACCTGATGATGTACATCCCACATGACTTATCATCTGGTTGTGTAACCTTCCCGAGGTTGAACCAGGTAAACCTTTCCCACTTTACTGTCTTGTCTGCAAACTGTGTCTTCATGTAGTTGATTGCGTACTGGACAACCCTCTCTGTCATTGGTTTGTAGTATTCTTCAAAATCTTTGTGACGGAGACTGTCGAGTACTTTAAATCTCTCTGCTTTGATGTTGACACAAATCATGATGTAGTGCTTGTTATCACAGTAAGGGAAGAACCACTGCAAAATAATTTTACCACAGTATACCATATGGTAAGCACTTGCCATATAAGTGTTAAACAGTAAGTTAAGAACCATTGGAAACTAATTTTACCACTATATACCATATGGTAACCACTGCAAACTAATTTTACCACAATATACCATAAGGTAACCACTGCAAAAATTGTGGTGAGATACTTACAAGGTTACATTTTGTGAAGCTGAGGTTTTTTGCCCATTCTTTGTTGGTGATGTCCAAGTCCACTTTGTCGTAGTAATCGTCTGGAGTTAGTAGAGGATTTCCACTATCAATGTCCAGTTGGCAGTCACCCTGAAAGTTGTGGTTGTTATTATGTGTTTTATATATGTGTTGTCTAAGAACTATTGACAGAATATGGGTTGGTTTACTTACTGCCAAAGATGCAACGAAGAACCACCTTTTGAATTTTCCTTTTTTTACTTCATTCCTGTTCATTAGATCTCCATACCAGTCGATGACATCAGATGTGATTTCACAGCGAATGTCAATCGACCGTACTGACTCCCTTTTCAGCAAGAATGTTCAATCCTTCCTTCTAAACATTATCTCATCACTGTATAAAAGTACATCACAACAGGACGGATGGTTTACTTTAATTTATCACATCAAACAATAGGTTACCAAAACAAACCATAGCTTACCACATCTTACCATATGGTAATAAGTAAAACACAACAGGAGTTATGGTTTAATCCATTCTTTAACAACAAACCATGGCTTACCACATCATACCATATGGTATTAAACTAAAACAAAACATGACTTGTGCATTACTACATTTGTAACATTAAACCATGGATTTATATAATCTTAACGTAGCTTACCACATCTTACCATATGGTATTAAACCAAAAACAAAACTGGAATTGTGGATTACTACATTTTGTATGATTAAACCATATATTTATCTAATTTTACCATATCTTACCATATTTTACCATATGGTAACAAAATAGATCACTACAGTAACATCATATAACAGTAGAAGTTTTAAGATGATGACTTACCTCTTGACAAATTTCTTGTTTTTGCATCTTATGTACTCCAGGATGTTGCTGAACATATCATCAGGTGTTGTTTGTGTTGGTGTTGACAGTTCAACTGGTTATCTTTGTGATTGTGGAGCAACTGGTTCAACTGTTGGAGTATTCAGGTCCTCTAGGTAAGCATCTATGCATTCACGCACTTTCTTGAGCTTCTCTTGGCTATTTGTGTACAGATTTGACCATGCTATATATGACTGCTTCTGTGAATGGGTGCTTTGTGGTTGTGCTGGTGGTGGTGTTCTTCTTGCCTTCTTTTCATATAAATTCACATTCTTCACCACAATTCTTCTTTTGCGAGGCTCTCCTGGTTAATTGGTTGTCGTGGTGGTAGTCAACTTCGTTGGTGTTGTTGGTGTTTGATGGTTGAGAGGGCTGAGATCGAAGGATGGAATGTCGTCTTCCCATGTCACTTTAGGCTTCTCAGCAGCTTTGGTTGTCAATTTTGGAGCCTCTTCTCGAACAACACCATCTGACACCGTTTTCTCGCTGTCAGTTTCTGCAGTATTTTGTGCAGCTTGCCCTGTATTCCCTTCTTCTGTTGTTTCCTTATCAACATCCATTGGATCTGCTGTTTTTGTAGCTCCTTTTTCTTCTGTTTCTTTTGCAGATGTCTGTTCTGGAACTGCTTTCGGGGTGTTCCCTTGTTGTGGTGTTCCCTGATTCAGACCTTCTTGAACAGATTGTGCTGGTGGTTCTGTTGCAACTTTCCCCAGTGGATCTCCTTCTTGGATGCTTTCCCTATTCACAGCTCCTGGAGCAGAATCATCTTGCTCCTTTTCTTTTGCCTTCAGTGTAGATGCAGCAAGATCGACTGTAGATGGTTGTGAATCATCTTCTTTCTGTGTTTGCTCCTCGTTCTCCTCTTTGTTCTGGTCTATCTTTGCCTGTTTGAATATTTCATTGAGTGTTTTATCCAAAGTGGCATTCATTTCTTCATCATTCTCTTCTTCATCATCTTCACACTGAGATTTTTCTCCTTCTGTGGGCTGAACATAATCATCACAGCTTTCTTTCTCAAGATTCACCTTGTGTCTGATCAGATTCTCAATTTGGCTGTTGTACTGGTCTTTGATTGCTTTCATCATTGCCTTCATTGATGCTTCAAGCAGTTTGATTGCATTCTCAGCCTGCATAATGGGAGTTTTGTAAGATACCATGGTGGTAATGTGTGTATGGTGTATGGTTAGTTACCATGGTTGTAATACATGGTATTGGCAATTACTATCACTATTTTGCATTTTTATAACATGAAACCATATCTTACCACACCTTACCATATGGTAACAAAGTAAAACAGAATAAGAATTATGGTTTTCTCCATTTTTATAACATGAAACCATAGCTTACCACACCTTACCATATGGTAACGAAGTAAAACACAACAGGACTTATGTTTTCCTCCATTTTTATAACATGAAACCATAGCTTACCACACCTTACCATATGGTAACAAACTAAAACACAACAGGAATTATGGTTTCCTCCATTTTTATAACATGAAACCATAGCTTACCACACCTTACCATATGGTAACAAACTAAAACACAGAAGGATTTACGGTTAGCATGAATTGGACAACTGTAATATAGATAATTTGTACCTACTTGGTTGACTGTTCTGATATTCTTCAAATCAAAGTTCAGTGATGATGACTGATCTGAAGTTTTGTTTCTTTGTCTTTTCGGTGACTGGTAGACTGGCTCATTCTCCTCTTCCTCATCAGTTGCATCATCAGCCTCATCGTCACTAATGTCGGCAACCTTTTCGATCTCGGTCAACTCTTTTCCATTGTAGTAGCTCTTAATGTTCTCAAAGTTGCTTTCGACATTGAGATCATCATAGTAGCTTACTGTTGGTGTTCGAAGCTGGGTTGAGAATGCCATTTCGTCCAGTTTGTACATGAAGCATACCTTTTTTATGCAGATAGTTGTATTAGTTTTTTCAAAGATTATCATTTATACGTAAAATATAATGAGTAACAAGGTTGAAATGGCCAAGGGAATGGAGACTTACTGTAAGGAAGTGAAGATCTGCACTGATGTAGAGGTTTGATGATTTCAATCCTTCATTCATGTGTTTGAAGAAGTATTTGCACCAGTTGTAGTTGGTGAAATGTTTCAGTTGTAGTTGGTGAAATGTTTCAGTTCATTAGTCTTCAAGTACTCAAGCATGTTGAGTTCAGCCATAGGGGCTGAAGTTGGACACAGCAAGCCTCCGGTGACCAGCAGAAAGAACAATCGTAACCATCTCTTAGTGTTTGTAGTTGTAGGAAGATCTTTTTCTACTTGACTTAGCTTTACCCTTGGAGTGGATGTTCCATCTACTTCCAGTAGGGTTTGTATTGCATAATCTGCTGCGTCGTCCCAAGAAATCATGGGAGGTACAACTTCCCTATTCCCCATCGGCAGACCATATACTCTATGAAAGTCGATTGGTGATATCTTTCATTGGATTGTATTTGTTCATTATGAACAGTGCAAAATGATTATTTATCTTTCTCTGCCTGATTGATATTAAGCCTGCTATGCCTAATATCTCAAGTTGCGCTTTCTGCTCATCTTTTATTGTCCTTGCAATTGCAGATACTCTTGTTGGGCTGCACCTTGTGCGAAAACTTTTTCTTTGTTTTACCATAGTGTACCAGAATGTAGAAATTAGGAATAGTCTGTTAGTATGCTTTTTACCATAATATATCATATGGTACCATAATGGTTTCCTACCATACCAAATCAAACCATATATTTATCACATTTTACCATATGGTAATTACATGAAACCATGTCTTATAACATGTTACCATATGGTAACGAAGTAAAACACAACAGGACTTATGTTTTCCTCCATTTTTATAACATGAAACCATAGCTTACCACACCTTACCATATGGTAACAAACTAAAACATAACAGGACTTATGGTTTCCTCCATTTTTATAACATGAAACTATAGCTTACCACACCTTACCATATGGTAACAAACTAAAACACAGGACTTATGGTTTCCTCCATTTTTTATAACATGAAACCATAGCTTACCACACCTTACCATATGGTAACAAACTAAAACACAGAAGGACTTATGGTTTTTTGCTATTTTAAAACATGAAACTATAGCTTACCACACCTTACCATTGGTAACAAACTAAAACACAGAAGGACTTATGGTTTTTTGCTATTTTACAACATGAAACCATAGCTTACCACACATTATCATATGGTAACAAACTAAAACACAGAAGGACTTATGGTTTTTTGCTATTTTACAACATGAAACCATAGCTTACCACACATTACCATATGGTAACAAACTAAAACACAGCAGGAGTTACGGTTTCTTTCCTTTTTATAACATGCAATCATAGCTTATCACACCATACCATGTGGTAACGAAGAAAAACACAACAGATTCTACACCAGTTCAGCAACGCATGGTAACGATTCGGTAAGGTAGCGAGTTTACTACAATTTTCACATGAAGAGTGACTGAAGTACTGTTTCTATTGTTCTGTGGATGGATTTCGAAGAAAGAAATGAGGTTTTACCTAGATATTTTGTGCAAAAACGATTTTTGAGCCTCGTTGAAGTTGGAAACCCTTCGTTTTTCGACGAAGAAGCGAGAATGGTGTACCGTTGAATGATTCTTCGAAAACCTTTGCGAAAATCCTTCGATTTTTGAAGTTTCTTCTGTGTTTTCTGAAGTTTTTGGTGCGCGATTGGATGAAGAATGGAGAGTTAGAGAGCAGAGGGAAGTAGAACTGTCGCGTGAAAGGTGAAAGAAAGAAGGAAAGAAGGCGGCACGGTTTAATGTCACGTCTTCTTTTCAAATTGTCAGATCGAAGATTACTATTCCCCCCCCCCCCCCCCCGTGTAGTTACTTTGCATGATCTGACGGTTGAAAAGATGATGGAACGGACGGTGGATAGGGCGGTTACTGACGGTTACTGATGCTATGGTTACTGAGGGGATCCGGTCCCCCAACAGGGTAACACTCCCTATCATAATGAAATTGAAGGGATTATGATATAGTTTCCAACATTAGCAACATTTATAAAAATTATAATAATACAATTTGAATTCAATTGGTTATAACATGCATAGTAAAATTAAAATGGAATACAAAATAATATGTGTATGATACATTTATCAAAAATAAGATAATTATTCCCAATTCTAGTATGACTTTTACACATAAGTATAACTAATAACAAGGGGCCGGATAGAATAACAACACCCATTATGTTGTTACTGTAACAACAAGGGTATAAGGGTAAACTTACAAGAAAATTAATAAAACAAGAATTAAAAAACAATAAAAAGTGTGTTTCTCTTTCTCCTCCAATCCCCAATTCTTCAGATCCCAATCGTATTTTGCAACCGATCATTTTCTTCCCTCCGACGCCGGCACACCGACGCTTCTTCCGAGGAGTTGCAATAGCAGATCTCTTCCCCTATCAGACCTCGATCTCCTCCGCCGCCATCAGCTTCTCTACTGCCACCATCTGCTTCTCCTCCCCTTCCTCTTCACAACCCCATCAAACTATACGGAATTAGAGGAAGAGGGATGGATAGAGC